TTGCAGAAAACAATTTCAGTGCTCTTTTCCTGAGATGACAGGGTATTTTCTCCTTTTTGCTGATCTGTTTGGGACAGTATCCTTTCTTTTTTAAAGAACTGTCCTAACAACCAAAGCAAACTGTGCTTACTTGTTAAATTCCTTGCTTCCATGTATTCAGGCTAATACAGAAAATGCTGGTACATTTATGACTTTACATAGTTATTGCCCTTACTGCAAAGCTTCTAGATCCAGTGCTGATCTGATTTGGTTGTCCCATTGACAAGGTCAATGTTCTTAATTTTTTTTTTTAAACTAATTTGCAGAGATAACAGTGGAGCTTATTGTTAGTTCCCTTCAAACTATAGAAGCCTAGGTTCAAGTTTTATGCTTTTAACATACTGATCTGTTGAGGCTTATGCTGAATTCTTGAGAAAGCAGTCATGCAAGAATAGTGAATAGTGAAGGCGGAGTAAGTAAGTTTAGTAAGTTAAGAGAAGAAAGTGTCAGTAAAATTCCGCCTTAGAAAATTAGGCAAGGCAAATTTCATGTGAAAATTGATTCTTAATATGTGGCAATACATTTCAAATAGATTACTTACACTTCAACGAAAACAACTTAAAAATGATTTGACAGTGTAATACTTCACAAGGATTCTTGGACCCAGATAACAAAAGTGAATTTGAGCCAGTTAAATAGCTATGTCTTTTATGTAAGAAACAATTGGGGAGATTTTCAGCAAGTTTACAACTTTGAAAGAAACAAATTGGCCTTTTTGATTTAAGCTTGTGTACAGCTCTGTTATCCTCTAGACCTTCCTACTGGCTGTATTTAAAAATTGGCAAAATTTTTGCTTGAGTCCCTTGGTACAGCTTTTATGAGCTTTAAAAAGGTGGAGTGGTTAGATTCAGCAATGGAGTGGCAGCATTTATAAACGTATTTGTTTGGAAATGGTGAAGTCGAACCATTGCTTTGTTTCCTGCTGTGAACAGTTGGCTAGAATTCATCTTCTGCATCTTTTCAAAATATTCTGCAGTTTTACAGAACAAAACCAGCTACAACTATCTGAATTCAGACTAGTGGATATTTTATCATGACTATTTAAGGTGATAATCTAGATGTGTGATTTTAACAGGTTTTCCTATTACAGCTTTAATTAGAAAGCTTATTTGTGTATAAATGAACTTCAGTTTTTTAAGACATATGGTAATTTTTTTATGGGTAATTGGAACAGAACTTGAGGTAGTGACGTACAAGGGGGAATGCTTCTGAAAATGTGTCAAATTATGCAGGGCTAATCATAGGCAATTTTTCTTAAAAAGCTGTTTGCCCATTGTGTGTATATATACTTCACAGCAATGTTATCCAGTTAGTGAGTAATTACCGCTGTCAGATTGAGACCCTTTCTTGGTAGATGTATGTTTAAATACACCATGTTTCATAATACATAAAGAATACAGTCAGTGAAAGTGCTGCTGTTTGATCTCGTGCTTTGAGTCGCAGTCCTGTTCCTCTTCGCTCTTTTTTGTGGTTGGATGTGTGAAAGGTGTTACTCCTACACTCGTGAACTGTTGAGTTAATGGATTCTCCGTTTGGTTATAGAGACCAGAACAAGATGCTTCTGCTTATTTTGTTCCTCTGAAAAGTTACTTCAATGTTTTAAAATAAAAGTTAACAAACCAGCCTGCTTTTTGTTTTGGAGCAGCCTAAGAGGGGCAGCTACACTGGGGGGGAAGGAGGATGGATCTCTTGTGCCTTGCAAGTCTGGTAGAAGGCTTAAGTTGATACCTAAGCTCCCTTTTCCCTGTAAATACAGAAGCAGCTGGCTTTGGTCAAAAATCCACGCACATGAGCAGAACGAGTTAAGGTGGGAACACTGATTTCATCAGCATGATTAAGTAAGGTTTCTGCCAGCACAGAAGCCAGCACCATCCCAGCAAAAAATCCATAGTGTAGACTGGTCTAACTCAGTGTCTTCCCTGTTTATGGGGAAGGGCTTGGTGGTTTAATGAAGTGGAGCTCCATATTGTTCCTTGTTTGAGCCAAAGGAAAAATAACTTCTGGACACAGTGAAAAATTAAGGGGGGTAGAATATATTCTATCATAAAAATGTTATTTGAGGACTTTGTTATTTCTTCCCGGTTTCTCTGTGCTATTTTGTGTTTTCCCACGCACCTAAAAAGAAGAATATTCTTAGAATTTAAGGCAAAAGAAAAATTTTGGATTATTCTAGGTGACCTTTTCTGACTGACTTCATTTAGTAAAAAGATAGTCTGATAACGTTTTAATCTTGATTTATCTGAATTTAATATATTCTCCTCTTTAATGTACTGAATTAGTCTACTAGTCTGTGCAGAAGGTATTTAGCATGCTGTATAAACTGATCGATTGTAACTTGCTTGGAGTTCTGTGGGTTTTAATTTCTTGTCTGCTCATGCTGTTTGGACACGAAGGCATGCACCTGCGCTTCACAGTCACTGTTGTGCTATTTCTCTGTGAGGGGAGGTACTACGTGATTCAACTGCTCCTCTGTGAAGAATCTAAAATAACAAGTTAACTTGAAGACAGAGTGGCAAAGAAGTAATTCTGAAAAAATGTAACAAGCTTCAGACTGCTGGGTGGCTGGCTGACGAGCCTGTGTCACCAGTACATGGAATGGTTCTGGTGTCCCTGGGGTGGGGTGCAGTTGGGGGGCAGACCAAGACCTAAAAGTAAAAAAAAAAAACAACAAACCCCGATACGTGAAAGGGCTAAATTTTCTCATCTAGCTGTGCTGTAGTGGGTGTGGGCAGAGCTGTCAAAGAGGAGACATGGCATTGCTCCATTGAGCCTTTTTATAGTCTTTACTTCATAATAACCTGAGGCCTTGTGTTCGGAGGTAGTGAGCTCCTATCTCAGAGGCTTTCAAAACTGCAGCTACTCGGCCTCTCTAAGAATTATGTCTGAAAGCATCTAGCTTTTTAAGGGTCGCAGAGAATAATTGCAACTAAAAGCCTAATCTCATCATATATATGAAAGCTTTTCTGTAACACAGTATGTACTGTGCTATTCAGTTTCCTAAGTAGTATCTCGGTATTTGTTTAGATCGTTTTTGCAACCAGCTGCTCTTCAACTTGAGCAGCAATCTCCTTTCCCAGTCTTAATGTCAGTAAAAGAGATGATGCTTTGTTTTCTTGCCCCATCCCAAATGTGGGTTGGGATTTGTTTGCAGTGGGAACTGCTGGTTTTGAGGCTTTACAAGCTAGGGCAGGTAAGAGACCATTTACAGGTACAGATCCCTCTCAGGCTTCATCGTACGTTGTATACAGATCTGGCTTTTGATTGAAAGCATTTGCTACTCAAAACGTATCAGCTTCTGCTCAGGCAGAAATTATTCTCAAGCTTGTATTGGGCGTTGAAGTGTGGGGACAGCCACTTTCTGGTTGTCCTTGGTAGCACAAGTGAAACTGCTTTTGGTGCTGCTGTTGGTGGCAGTTGGCAGGTGCACGGACGGCGTGCTGCTTCCTTCTCTTTTCTGAAAACCATGTTCAACTGTCTTGCACTCCTAACTAGAAAATGTTAATCTTTCAGAAAACTCTACTGCTTATAGGAAGAATAAGCTTATTAAGAGACGTTAAAGTCATTAAAATATTTATATTGGGAATTGGGGGGAAAAAACTTTGACCAAGTGGAATCGATGAATCTCGTATATAATGTACGCATATAGGAGGTGTTTTGGCAAAGCTCTAGTTTGTTTATGGAGTAGAGAAACTGTTTTTCCTCCAAGTTCCTGAAAAGACTTCTTTATGAAGTCACCTTTAGTAAAATCAAGTTGACTTTGTATTTTTGTGTATATGTATGTATTTTTCACGTATTTTATTACAGATACGGGGAGCCTAGTATGATCTCGCTCATTTTTTGCCATGATGCGTGGGCATGGACGTTTTTGAGGAACAGCAGAGGGGAAGCAGTAGGAAATTTAATTGCCTTCTCAGCACATTCCTTAGCCTGACACAGTTTTATAACGTATAGGTGGGAGTGAAGTGCTCTGCAGGCTGTTTAAACAAGTAACATAAGAACCCGAGCTTTATGAGGAAGCTTTATATGTTCCTGATTGCTCATCTGCTCTCATGCAGCGTAGATACGGATCACTGCTGAAAAGGATAGTCCTGCCCTCTCCTCTGTCCTGGCCATGCGATAGCCCCCTCATTCATCCAGCCACCTGATCTGGTGAATAGATCAGAGTCGAGCGGTTGGAAAAAACCTGTGCTGCGTGCTGGAGTCCGCAGAAGGGAGATAATAGGAATAAGGGTGACAAATTTAAGTGAGCATTTAGCTATGCCTTGGTAGAGTAAGATGTGTGTGAAGGTATTTCAGTGAAGAATGTACTAACTCATAAAACATTTCCTAATGGGAGAACAGGTATAAACTAATTTTTGGTTTGATGTGTCTGGTTTTGAATTTAATCCTGTTGTGTAACTTCTCTTTTGTGTTTTTGTTTACTACACTCTGGGTGTTTTTGTTAGCCAAGAGAGTTGCATTGTGATGAATGAGAATTGTCAGTCAATTGATACGACAAATTTGTATTTTCAACAGTTCTGCATGCTTAAAAATAGCATAGACTTCGGTCTTATATATTGGGTAACTATTCTGTGGTAAGGGAGGAAATAGACTGTATACATTTGTCTGTTTGTCGTTTATCTACCTGCCTTACCGTTTCCCTCTATTACGCCCTCTACACAAAGCTTTTTTTTTTTAACTTCCCCATCCTAAGTTTCAAATTGCAATAAGAGTGCTTACAGATGTTTTGGTGTGAGTTTGACATTGCTTGGATCTAGTTCTTTTACTTCAGCAGACTGATCACTTGTGTGGTGACTGGTTCTATGTAAGTATTGGTTGATTTTAACCGGTCTGTGTGTTAGTCTCAGCAGGTCATGACTGAGTTTAAATTGGGATCAGAATAGGTGTGGCATTTAATAATTAACTTTCTGGTTACTCAGGTCCAGTAGGAAACCTATAATGAGTCTGTTTTCATTTTGTTTACAGGAATAGTTATCTGCTTAGTCTCATCCTTTGTATCTGGCAATCTGAGGAAAAGGTCTGAGCCAGCATGAAGACAGAATCCCCTCTTCATTAGAGAAAAAGTGAGTTGGAACTGGGTTGAAATCTGGATTTGTAGAATGAAAATACTATGTTAGCTTGCCAACGCACACAACTTGAGCTTGCTTTCAAGTGGTATTTTAACTTTGTAACACTACTGTTATGAGCGATGTCCAATCGAGGCCTAGTCTCGGTTAAGCATGCATATAAAATTTTCAAATGTATGCATTTAATGGGAACTCCTACACCTTACTTTTCCAAAAGAACTGCTTACTCATTGTATAACTGCCTACCTGATACACTTCTTCCTTCCAAATCCCATGAGATCTTGTAATAGACCCCACAGAATGTAGACTTTTTGTTCTTTTTGTTGTAGTGTTGTATTCCTATTGAGTTTTATTTTAATAATTTAATATTTCTGACTTGTTTCTGGAACTGTACTGGTCTCTTCTCTGCTATTCTCAGTGCGTAATGTATATCTGTTTTCTGAATTTGTTTTGGAAGCCTCTGTGCAAATTTAAGAAATTCTAGAAATGGAGGACTGAGTTTTCTTGTTGTTTCTGCACTAGGAAATCCTGAATTCTGCATTTAAAATGCTGTTAGATCAAATCTTATCCTTTTCATAGTGGTTTTTTCCTCCCCTTAAATGTTCTAATAGTATCAAGAAAAAAAGATTGGCCCTTTGCCCAGCCAGATTTTTATATTTGGTGCTGTACACATCAACTGGGTTAAATCTCGGTGGTTGTTTCTTTGGTGTGGTTTGTTGTGTGTGGTGTTTTGTTTTTTTTGAAACAGAGCTCCTATGCAACCATTGTGTACTAATGATGTATTCTGATTACTTAGCTTTCTGCCTGACGCAGTTCATTTCAAGAAGTGCACGATGACAGAGCGTGGAATTAAATGGGCTTGTGAGTATTGTACATATGAAAATTGGCCATCTGCAATCAAATGTACCATGTGTCGTGCTCAGAGACCTAGTGGAACAATTATCACAGAAGATCCATTTAAAAGTGGTTCAAGTGATATTGGCAGAGACTGGGATCCTACAAGCACTGAAGGAGGGAGTAGTCCTTTGATATGTCCAGATTCTAGTGCAAGACCAAGGGTTAAATCATCTTACAGTATGGAAAGTGCAAATAAGTGGTCGTGCCACATGTGCACATACTTGAACTGGCCAAGAGCGATAAGATGTACTCAGTGCTTGTCTCAACGTAGGACCAGGAGTCCCACAGAGTCTCCTCAGTCTTCAGGTTCTGGTTCAAGACCAGTCCCTTTTTCTGTTGATCCATGCGAGGAATATAATGACAGAAATAAACTAAACACAAGGGCTCAGCACTGGACTTGTTCTGTTTGTACATATGAAAACTGGGCAAAGGCCAGGAAATGCGTTGTATGTGATCATCCCAGACCTAACAACATCGAAGCAATAGAACTGGCAGACACAGAAGAGGCTTCTTCGATCATAAACGAGCAAGACAGAGCTCGATGGAGAGGAAGCTGTAGTAGTGGTAATAGCCAAAGAAGATCTCCACCTACAACCAAACGTGAATCTGATGTGAAGATGGACTTCCAAAGAATTGAATTGGCTGGGGCTGTTGGCAGCAAGGAAGAACTTGAAGTTGACTTCAAAAAACTAAAACAAATAAAAAATCGGATGAAAAAGACTGACTGGCTGTTTCTAAATGCTTGTGTTGGTAAGTTGTTTGCTGCTACCTTATACTGTTACGTCTGTGGTTAGGTATTTTGGGAGAATGAAAAATTAAAACATAAACTTGACATTTGATTTCAAAACAGCTTTTTTAATCTCTGCTTTTTAATTTTAAAAAGTAAACCAAATGTGGAACTTCCTGAAATAGCACCTGCTAAGAGAGGGTGCAGAGTTCACCCATAATCTGAACAGAGTTAGACATGTTTCCCAACTATGCTTGGACTTTTTTGACCTCTTGTAGAAATGGATATCCGTGTAACCAAATCCTATTGTTCTTGTAGTCATCGAAAGGTGGAAAAATAGCAAAACCAGTTTAGAGAACAACATAATGCATATAGAACTGTAAAAAGTCCCATTATTGGATAATTAAAATTACTCTTCTTTCTGCTGTGGCAAGATACGCTAGTAGATTCAGCAGCTGCAGCTTGGGATTATTTGTAAACAGTGTGGAGCTTGCAACAGTACAAGATGCTCTGTCAGATGTTAAAAATAACACCAAAATATGTAGCTCCAAGAAACTGCATGTGTAATACTGACCTTGAAAGTAATAATATTGTATTAATACAGATACTGTGTTGTAAATGTTTACAGGCTTTCTGAACATATTTTTGTAGTCAACTGCTTCAAAGAATTCAAATACCGATTTTGTTTTGTATTTTAGTGCTTTCCTAAGGAAATTCTGGATAATTCTCGCAATGCTATTAAGGAACAGACATGTGAAAGCAGGGTTTTCTTCAGTTTTTGACCTTGGGAGTTAACTTTTGTGGTGTAACTTCCCAGAAGCAGATATCTTGTGCCATAGCATACAAGCAGGTTAAACACTTGAAATACATAACTATTTTTAGCATAAAACACTTCATTTGAAACTCCGGTGCTACTAGTATGTCTCGTACTGTTCCTTAATGTTTCATGAAGTCACTTCATGGTTGTTAATAATCAAAAAACTAATTTGTGGAGCTGCTTCGTTTAATATATTTGATCGAGTGTAAATGCTTTTATGAGTATCATGGGTTTGGTTTCTCTGAGATAATAAATATTCCTTTTTTTTCTTTTTTTGTGTTACATCAATAGTTGGACAAGCACATTTCCTTTTGAAAGTAGTTAGATGCCTCCGTATTTCCTGATACCTCCATCTCTTTACATGCTAGCAGACACGCAGTGCTTTTTCCTTCTGAAATGAAGCAGTTGAAGTTCTGTATGGTATTGTGTAAGTTATTAAATACCCAAGATCAATTGTTGGAGGTCATTCCTGTGCCTTACGAGAGTCTATCTTGGATTCTGATAGCAGTTGTATTAAATATTAGGTTTTTTCCTCTGTTTTTTGAAAAGTGAATTTTCTTTGACTATTCCAGTTTTACTTAAAATATTTTACACTTTCAGATTTAGTCTGATTTGGAAATGATTGGGCTTATATTTAAGAACGTGAGTTTGGCAGGTATTTAATGTTGGTTGTGACTATACAGTTGTACATGAAACTCAAAACTGTGTCCATAGAAATTTTGTAAGGCAATAACAATTTGGTTCTTTTAAAATGAAAATAGTTTGAATGTATCTGAAAGATACCTTGATGAGAAAGCCAGAATGCAGATGGAGTCGTGTGCTGAGGTTTTTTTTTTTTTACTACTGTTCTGCTGAAAGATTTCATGGATTCCTTTCTGTAACTGTAAACGCTTACTATACTTCAGCTTTTTAACTGAGGGGAGAAAACCACCAACCAAAGCTGTTATTCGAGTCCTTCATTTCAGAATTTCATTTTGTATATCACAGATGCCATGTTTTTCCAGGTACTTCCTGTAGCAGGAGTAACCTTAGGAAGATTGATGAAAACTTCATAGATTCTTTTGTGGCTGCCTCTGGACATTTTGCAGAGTGTGTATCTGTATTAGAAAGGTATACCGGTTTAACCAGTAATTTAAAAAGCAATAAGCCACATTTGTGCTGCTTGTTGTCTTAGTGTGACATACTTAAAACAATTTAACTGTCGGTTGAAAAATTTTGCCTGAAGCATATGTTCGTACCATTGAAATCAAATGAGTTCTTGTGACTTAGTGAGTTACTGTTTTATCATAGAACCATAGAATGGTTTGGTTGGAGGGGACCTTGGGCAGGGACACCTTCCACTAGACCAGGTTGCTCAAAGCCCCAGCCAACGTGGCCTTTGTTAGCTAGCTGGAGCTCCTGTGAACTTTCAGCTGAGCTGAACACTTGTCAATCCTTAGCCAAACACAATTATAAAATAGGACAAGCTAATGTTAAATGTCAAGTAAGTTTGTGAAAATTGATGGAGTAAGAGTTGATATGTAGTCGGTTACCATAGTCTGGCTGACAAATGGTGGCTTGTTGGGATTTGGTAACTTCAGACTGCACACCTCCAAGGTTAAGCTCAGTCAGTTGTGGAGGGTCCATTTGGTTTGAGCCCATCTTATGTGGGAGAGATGTATCAGTTTATGGATGTACACAGTGTAACTTTCCCCAAAGTTAAATATAAAGATTAGAGGAGTAGGAGTAATTCTTGGCAGACTGGTTCTTTTGTTTTCTCTTGGAAGATACTATCTTTCAGAAGGTACCAAGGAAAATTTTGATACTTTAGGACAGCTGTTGAGTTGAACTCCCTCTTCGCATCTCAACTCGAGTATAAAATTCTTTTTGCTACATTTTAAATTTACTGTAAAGTTTCACTGAAAACGTGTATCAGACTACTTTTTTCCCACATCTGTTCTTTTTAGCTGAAACATGAAGATAGACGTGTATCTTGTGTGGATTTAGAAAAGTACCTCTGTGTGCGTGTTTGTGTGTGTTGTGTGTGTGTGGTGTTTTTTTTCCATTCTGTTGGAGACATCCATTAATGTTCTACCCACCTCAGTAAATAAACATGCCGTCAAAGCTGCTATTCCTTGCAAATCTAAGCTGTACAAAATGTGATGAGTGCAACTTTGCATTTCAGCATCAATAGTTTCCTTGATGGAGGGTATCCTTTCCGAATCAGAAGGATTAGTGGCATTCCCTCTTTCAAACTCTGCAAGTAAACGTACTTGAATGTCACTTTCGTTATTGACTTGATTTTTGCAGCAGCGGATGTACCTGTCAAATGATCCTTTCTCAAAAGGGTGAGATTTTAGAACTGATTCATTTGGTTAAAACTTATTAAAATCAAAGCAGAACATCTACTAAGTGTGGCTGTTGAATGACATGACTTGCTACAAATACCAGTTTGAATTACAATGAGAAATTACAGATGGCTTCTACATGGACACCAGTGCTTTCTACTGTACTGGCCTAGTTCAAGGTTAATGTAAAGTCCAAGGTGACTCTCATTTCTTGGGGGAGGGAGGGAAACTAATGTATATTTAAAATTAACCTCCATTGTCTTGTACATAACTCTTGGTATCTATGCCAAAGAGACAGTAAGAGAGGTTTGGTGGCCTGTGGGGCTTGGGGAATCGGGTATGCAAGAGCAGCAGTACTGATGTGGGGCCTGGTGAAGCTGGTTACAGCTGGCTGTGGATTTAAGTAGTACAAACAGATGAAGATAGTCATGACTATAAAAACTTTCTAGTGTTCAGAGTTTGCTTGGGGCTTGCACTTTCAGTACTTCCTGAGGCTTCCCCTCTCCTGGCCCTTCAGGGCTGGGTTTTACAGTGGTGCACGCAGGGTGTGTTTGCTGCGGGGCACCGCTGGAGATTCTTGGGTTGTGTGTTCAACTCCTGAGCTTGAACTGTAGCCCAGAGATTAAAAGTAAACTGCATTTCTTTTCCTTTCTCCGCCAACCCTGCTTATTAACTGCTGCAAGAGAGTACGCTCTTCTTTCAGTTCAGGTCAGTAGGGTGGCTACTGCCATCATGGGCCAGACTTCTGCGACTGGGGCTGGTGGCTCCAAAACCCGAGTAGACATGCGTTCTTCTTTGCTGTGTGAAAGAAACCACTAAGAGTGTGTTTCTTAAACAAATCCAGAATATTTAGAGCAATCTGTAATGAATCTTGTTTTGCAGTACATCCTTAAAAGGACTGTTAGTTCATTCCTAGTATTCCTACATATGCATCTGCTTAGTTTTTCCTTTGTTGACTACTTTATCTCTCTTACAGGTTTGTGTTTCTTTTTTTTTCCCCCTTTCCCTTGTCCTTTTCTAAACCCAAGTAGACATGCGTTCTTTGCTGTGTGAGAGAAACCACTAAGAGTGTGTTTCTTAAACAAATCCAGAATATTTAGAGCAATCTGTAATGAATCTTGTTTTGCAGTACATCCTTAAAAGGACTGTTAGTTCATTCCTAGTATTCCTACATATGCATCTGCTTAGTTTTTCCTTTGTTGACTACTTTATCTCTCTTACAGGTTTGTGTTTCTTTTTTTTTCCCCCTTTCCCTTGTCCTTTTCTCCTTGCAGTTTTCTGAAATAGTGCCAAACGTGTTACCCAAGCTTTCAGAAACCCTGTGGGAAAGGAAAGTCGTTCTGTACACATTTAGGAATGAAGTTGGCTGGGCAGTGTCCCGGGCTGCTCTGCAGCTACAGGAGGGATGGAGGCCACCTTCTCCTCTGTGTCTTGCAGAACATGTGGCTCTTCACTGACAATAAAAGCAACCTGAGGGCACTGACGTACCAAGGTGCTTTCAGCTGTCACTGCCACCCAAAGTAGTCCTCTTAGCTGGTTGTTTCTGTCCTCCTGGCATGTTTGCATGCCAGCATACAATGAAGTGCATCTGTGTCACCGTTTAAGGCTGGGCCGGTACT